TCGACCACCCACCTTCTCAGGAGAAGAGGACCCCACGATCCTCGAAGAATGGATCTGAACCTTCAACAAAATCCTCGGGTTGGTGGAATGCCCAGAGGAACGCCGCGTAGAGATAGCCTCATTCTACTTCGGACACGAAGCTGATCTTTGGTAGATCCACGGAGGACCCACTTATAGGCAAGAACCGGGATTCAACTAGGAAACCCTAAAGGCTCGGCAACGGGGACGTTTCCACCCCGCGCATGTCTCAACTTCGAAACTCGAAAGGCTTTAACCGTAAGTAAACCAGGACCCTCAACGAGGCTTGCGCTAGCACCGCTGACCTTCACCGAATCCAACTTCTACAACGGGGAATTCAGGAACAGACCCGAAAAAAGAGTAACAGACCACCTGCAAAGAAAACTAGAACACCAGTAGTAAAGCAGTGTGTGAACAACATCTTTTCTTAATCTCTAGTGCGAGGTAAGTATATCATGTCGACATGTGAACCCTTTGGCCCATCTTAAAATATCATTCTCCCTTGAATCCCAGCCTCTCGATATTTCTAATTATTGGAACCCCTGCCTCGAATCCTTGATTATCCTTGAAAGCAATTAAAACACCCGTTACGCCCTTACTCACTCTTGTACCTAATTTATCCTTGGAAACATTAAATCGTCATGAGCTTGGAATCATTGCCATTGCTCTAAACATGTATCCCTCTCTTTCGAATGGTTGCTAAAACCCTACCAGTGGTGTAAACCCCTTGCTTCGTCTAAGTGGCATAAGGGTTGATGCTTATTAGGTTAGTATTAGGATAGTTGTTGAAAAAAGACTCGGCGTGTCAAGTAGAGGCGACGGACGCGCGGAAAGTGTCGTGCACTAAGCTCCCCTGCAATAAAGGTCTTACTTTGGAATAAGGACCTTGGTTGTTTTAAGGCACCGTAAGAAGTACACGTGACACACAAAATCGCCAAACGCCATGAGACGTCGAGAGTAGTCAACCAAATGCATTCCAAGGAAGGGAAAGGCATCACTAAGCATTTGGTCACTAAAGGATTAAACAGGGACCGGGCGACAAGCCAAACTTCAAGAAAAACCAAGAAGGCTTGCCATTAATTAAGGCAGGGAAAAGACAAAGTTGGTTTATAATCGACTACCCTGTGAAGGTTACGAGGTTGCCAATTAGAAACCGACACGACCTACTAAGCAATAATGAAGGACATGCGAGAATCTTGACTCATCAAGGACTCATGTTTAGGGTGCAATAACGTTGATTCGATGAGTCATTCTATGTATTCAAGCCCCTTTTGTTATTCATAAGAGCGTGGAAGTGTTTGGACTTGAAGTTGTGCATTTTCGGGACTTTTCCCGAAGAGATTCCCTCTTCACAATCGCGTTCCAGCGGGCCCCCAACGGGACCTTGACGGGACCCTGACAGGACCTTAGCAGGCGGTCGATCGCCCACCTCGTGCCCACTGGTACGGTATGATGATTTCTTGACTTCTCATTTTATTGATCCATTGCGCACTTGTGTGCCTTGATTGATAAACACAAGTCTTGGGTAAGGAATCATGGGTTGCCTAAAAGTGGTGACTTTGGTAAAAGACCTTGACCCGCAAGACGCCTTCAAAAAGACACAACCATTTACATTACACATGGAAGTTATAGTTGGACTCTACAATGCAACCGACTAGGGATGGTTGACGAGAAGAATTGTACAAACCAAGGAGTCGAGTTAGGAACTCGTGCTAAGGACTTACAAATCCCTTAAAGTCAAGCGCTAAGGATGGACCAGGCTTC